CATTACATTTTATTATTATTTTTTGGAGTTTATATATATATTTTTGTTGTTTTTGCTAAGAAAATCGGCAAATTTGTTTAGTGTTTTTGTTTTTTCTCTTTGGATAATTGGAATTAATATTTTTTGTTTTGCATGTTATTCAATTTAAATTTTTGTTAAAAAAATATAAAGGGATTTTAAAGTCAAAACGAAGAGATAACTTAAGAAGTTTTGTTTATATATTTTTCGGGGAATTAAACTAAATTACTATTCCATAACTCTAATAGTGCTTGTTGATAGATTTATTAAGTCTTAAAGGAATATTGATCTTCTGAGACTATTCGTATAAGTTATGATTAATTTATATACCACCAACTACTAAAGTCCAAATATATGTAGGGGTAAAATCTTGAGATAGATAGATAGATAGATAGATAGATAGATAGATAGATAGATAGATAGATAGATAGATAGATAGATAGATAGATAGATAGATAGATAGATAGATAGATAGATAGGTAGATAGATAGATAGATATAGATAGATAGATAGATAGATAGATAGATAGATAGATAGATAGATAGAGATAGATAGATAGATAGATAGATAGATAGATAGATAGATAGATAGATATATAGATAGATAGATAGATATATAGATAGATATATAGATAGATAGATAGATAGATAGATAGATAGATAGATAGATAGATAGATAGATAGATAGATAGATAGATAGATAGATAGATAGATAGATAGATAGATAGATAGATATATATAGATAGATAGATAGAGAGATAGATAGATAGATAGATAGATAGATAGATAGATAGATAGATAGATAGATAGATAGATAGATAGATAGATAGTAGTAGTTAGTTAGTTAGTTAGTTAGTTAGTTAGTTAGTTAGTTAGTTAGTTAGTTAGTTAGTTAGTTAGTTAGTTAGTTAGTTAGTTAGTTAGTTAGTTAGTTAGTTAGTTAGTTAGTTAGTCAGTTAGTCAGTTACTTAGTTAGTTAGTTAGTTAGTTAGTTAGTTAGTTAGTTAGTTAGTTAGTTAGTTAGTCAGTTTACTAGTAGTTTGGTTAGTTTGTTAGTTAGTTAGTTAAATAGTTAGTAGTTAGTTAGTTAGTTAGTTAGTTAGTTAGTTAGTTAGTTAGTTAGTTAGTTAGTTAGTTAGTTAGTTAGTAGTTAGTTAGTTAGTTAGTAGTTAGTTAGTAGTAGTAGTTAGTTAGTTAGTAGTTAGTTAGTTAGTTAGTTAGTTAGTTAGTTAGTAGTAGTTAGTTAGTTGTTAGTAGTTAGTTAGTTCGTTAGTTAGTAGTTAGTTAGTAGTTAGTTAGTTAGTTAGTTAGTTAGTTAGTTAGTTAGTTAGTTAGTTAGTTAGTAGTTAGTTAGTTAGTTAGTTATTCAGGTCTAACTTTTGGTTAGGATGCCTGAAAGAAGAAGTTAGGGAATCGTACCCACGACCTTCGGTTCAACAGAGTAAGTAGAACACTTTCCAATATGATGAGCCACCAAACAACACTTCCATACCTGTGGAATGGAAATCCGGTGGTTAACTTGTTACTAAAAGTCAATCCCCTGTATTACAAATGTAAAGTTTAAGAAACATCTTAAAACATTTTTAAATTTTCAAATTAAATTTGAACTGAGTTTTCTTTAAATGATTTTCCTGTTTCTGTTAAATATACACACACACATACATCTTTAGCATTTAATAAATTAATTAGGTTTTCCATTTTCTACACGCTTACAGTCCTTAAATACTCTGCTGCTAAGTACAAAGTAAAACAATTGTTTGTTTGATTGGTTTTTGTTTATAATTGTTGTGCCACGATTTACCGCCACAAATTTAACAATAAGTTTATAATGCGATTATATTTATTGTTATGTGGTAGTGTAAATGTGTGGGAGTGATTTGTGTGTATTTGTATAAATAGATGTATTTAACTACATGTACATACAATAATTTAACTTTATTATAACAATTACTATTTACTAGGATATTTGAAAATACAAATTACCTTTATTTCGAATCAAACTCTATATAGAAAATATATAATATATAAAATACATACATTTACATACAAATATATATTTTCTATTTATGTATATATTTATGCGTGTGTATGTATAGGTTCGGCAAAACAATTGGAAATACAGAATTAAGTAATGGCATTGTACAAGACGACCCGGAGATAATCGCCCAACAAACTGATAAAGTTGATATTTTGCTGCAATGCATTAAAACCGCAACTGAAGAAGCGGCTTGGATTTATGGGCAAGTATTGTGCCAAATGATACGTGATTTAGTGCCACCTAAAGAAATATTGACGAAGGTCATAAAGGAGTTCTTAGCAATAAATCAACCACACAGCGATGTTATTGCCATGATTGTATTTCAGGTATGTCTGCCATAATCATAGTTATTTAGTTTTATTTATAAAGATAATTTTATACGTATTAAACGAAACGACGTCATATTTATTAAAGAAAAATATTGCTGTAAAATTTTAAGAGTATTATGGTAATATTACAAAAAAGCAGATGATCACTAACTGTTATAGAGTTTAAAATGTTTATAAATTTAAGTTAAAAAAATAGTTTACATAAAATCTTGGCTCAAGTTTGTAAGTAGCAAAATTAAAAAAATTTAAATTTAACGTATTTTTAAGACTCTCTGCTTTATAGTAATTAAAAATAACTTGTAATTATGTACATTTTACTCTTATTATACTGCGTGTTACGTACGTACATGTTCTTGCTTTAATCTTCATTTTTTGTTTTTTTTCTTTTGAAATACTTTTCTCCAACAGGTTTTCCGCTCGGCCATTGATTCTTCATTTTTACAACAATTACAAGATTGGCTCACCTGCTCATTGCCCACGTTTTTAGCGTTGCCCGAACAGAAAGCAGTCTGGAGTCTGAGTGTTGTATTTCTTTCGGCTTCTATAAATCTTCATTTAATGAAACTATTTCCGTTGCTGTTGAGTGGCATACCAACACCAACAACATCTGTAACAGTAACAACAACGACAGCAGCAGCAGCAACTAGTAAAACACCAACAACATCATCAGCAAATAATACAAGAATGAATTGTGAAAAATTGGGTCATCACGAAATTGCATTGTTCGTGACATCTGCTCAGGATTTCTATGCAAAATTGGGCAATGAACAAAAAGTACGTTTTCGCGATGCCTTCAAGGAATTTCATCATATTAAAGTCTACAACAAGATGTTACAAAGTCTATAACAACACTAACAACAGCTAAAAATTATCAACATCACCATCACCACCCAAAAGCAGAAAAAAAACTCAACATAATGAAAAATTATAATGTATGGGTATACTTACTTACGCGATATTTATGTAAATTGTGTGTGAGTGTTACTATGGTCCTGTGGAAAAAGAAAATGTTAATGTTTTTAACTTAAATTCTGTTCGAACATTTTTTAAAAAAACAGGAATTTTCTACAAAAATAAGAAATTTTTAAAAATTTAATATTAAAAGGAAATTTTTCGAATAAAATTTCTATAAAAAGAATGTTTTGAAGAAAAAAGACAATTATTTCGAAAAAATTTTCCACAAATAGAAAGAAAATTTAAAATTTTTGAAAAATGTTATCAAAACTTTTCTATAAAAATATACATTTTAAAAAAATTTTCTATAAAAGGGGAAATTTTTTGAAAATTTTTTATAAAAACTGAAATTTTTGAAAATTTTCTTTAAAAACTGAAATTTTTGAGAAATTTTCTATAAAAAGTTAAATATTTAAAAAATTTTCTATTAAAAGATACATTTTTAAAATTTTTTTATAAAAACTGAAACTTTTAAAAAATTTTCTCTAAAATAAAAAAAATTTTAAAATTTTCTGTAATAAGTAACATTTTTGATAAGTTTTCTATAAAAAGTGAAATTTTTTATAAATTTTCTATAAAAAGAGAAATTTTTGAAAAATTTTCTATAAAAAGTGAATCAAAAATATTTCTTTAAAAAGAGCAATTTTTAAAAAAATATTCTTTAAAAATATAAATTTTTTGCAAAATTGTCTATAAAATAAGAAAGTTTTTAAAAATTTTCTATAAAAAGAGATATTTTTGATAAATTTTCTTTAAAAGAGAGATTTTTGAAAAATTTGTTATAAAATTATAATTTTTCGAAAATAATTTCTATAAAAACAGAAATTTTGGAAAAAAATTATAAAAAGGAGATTTTTGAAAAATTTTCTATAAAAAGAGAAATTTTTGGAAAATTTTCTATAAAAAGAGAAATTTTTGGAAAATTTTCTATAAAAAGAGAAATTTTTGGAAACTTTTTTTAAAAAGAGAAATATTTTTAAATTTTCTATTAAAAATATAAATTTTTGAAAAATTTTCTATAAAAAGAGAAATTTTTGAAAATTTTTCTATAAAAAGAGACATTTTTGGAAAAATATTCTTTAAAATGAAAAATTTTTGTTTAAATTTTCTTAATTTTTTCCTTTTTTAAGGGAAATACATATTTATAACAAATTTTTATATAGAAATTTTTTAAAATTTCAAATTTGAAAGACATCATGAACAATTTTTTTTGTGACCATCCTAATACTCAAAATAACAAATATGTCTCTGTATATAAAGTATGTAAGAGTTTACAAAAATATTACATATACATACATACAATGTCGAGCTCTACACAATGGTTTTGTTGCTATAATAGTTTTTCTTCTTCTCAGTTTTTTGTAGTTGTAGGAAATGAAAGAAAAGTGCAGTGCATGTCTTTAAATTGTAGTCTTAAGGCTAAATTGAAATTTATATTAATTTCACTAGAATTTTATGTTTTATTTTATAATTTTTACTCATTTTGGCTGTAAAACACATTTCACTCTCCAACCAACCCAGCAAACCTTTAACATCATCTTCCCCACCAACTCTCTACCTAAAAAAAGAAAAACTAAAACAGAAAAAAACTTTTAAGAATTATTATATTTTTCGTTATACATATTAATCCCCTATTTAATTGCAAAATCTGAGAAAGCAGTTTTTAGTTTTTGTCTCCTCTCTGCTCTTTTTATTTGTTTTAGTATATATTTTGTTATTGTAAAAATGGTTTCAAGACCAATATGCAATTATAGTTGAAAAAAAAAAAAAACTTTGATTCTTCTATTTGCAGTTTGTTTCATTTAGATTTTACTTCTATTTTACTTTAAAAGTAAAGCGTGAATAACTAATTGCCACAAAGATACCAATCTGTTGAAAATATTTTCTATTTTAGGTATTTTAAGTTGAGTTCTTAAGTTGCCGGAAAATGATTTATTTGACTTGCAAGAATTATGATTGTTAAAATATTAGAGAATTTTCAAAGCGAGATTATATTGGAAAATTGTTAAAGCTCTCAATAGCTTAAAGATCACAAGTCAAACATGAATTAATGTTTTACAAAACTAAAAGTTATGAAAGAAAATTTCAAAAATTCAGGAATTTGTAAGAGTTTTCAAAGCTTTTACAGCTTTTTTATAAAACAAAAATAGCAATTGAAAGAATATGATCCGTATTCAATAAAAAATATTACTATTATTGATCATAAACAACAGCAAAATAAAATGATTCCCTTTTAAACTAACACTCCCTGTCTTTAATCTCTGCAGACTAATTTATTTTGGCTGTTATAAAAATTTATTTAAAATTTTATATTATATAAAACTTATTTAAAACTAATTAGTCTTTTTAATTAAATCACATTAAACTATTAAATTAATGTTACTAATATTTAAATTATTTGGTTTAAATCTCTAGTTTAAAATTTAAATGGCTTTTAAAAGTAAATATTTTGTTAAATTTAAATCAACGCCTCTAAAAATTTTATAATTTCCAACACTTTATTATTATTTATTTCATTTTTATGTAGAAATTACTTTTTTACTTTAATTTAAACAATTATTACGATTATTATTATTACTCAGTTAAAATATTTAAATAAAATTTGTAAACATAACTAAAAATAATTTGTTTTAATTAAAAAATCTAAAATTAGATAAAAACCTCAAAAAAATATGTTCTTTATTTTAAAATTTGCAGGTAATAAACAAACAAATTAGCTTCGTTAGCGTAACTAACGAAATGACGTCATAAAAAATAACCTGCAAAAACGAGCCAATCGACAAATCGCTCTGAAAATAAATATTATAATTAACTAACTAACTAACTAACTAACTAACTAACTAACTAACTAACTAACTAACTAACTAACTAACTAACTAACTAACTAACTAACTAACTAACTAACTAACTAACTAACTAACTAACTAACTAACTAACTAACTAACTAACTAACTAACTAACTAACTAACTAACTAACTAACTAACTAACTAACTAACTAACTAACTAACTAACTAACTAACTAACTAACTAACTAACTAACTAACTAACTAACTAACTAACTAACTAACTAACTAACTAACTAACTAACTAACTAACTAACTAACTAACTAACTAACTGACTAACTAACTAACTAACTAACTAAATCCGCTAATATCGTTGTTTTTTTATTTTACCATCTGTTTTTATTACTAATTCTAAAACTATTAACATAAACCAAGAGTAAAGAAAAAGAAAAGCTAACCAAACAAAACATTTAATTTTAAGATTTTTCTTCCTATAGCAAGTTAATCCTTTTACCAATCGGCGTCTTTTGGCATTCATGTCGTCGTTCACACACTGTCGCTCTTAGAGTTTTTATTTTTTGCTAATTTTCTCTCGGCAGTAACAAGGACCCATAATTTTGTGTAGTAAGTGTGCGTGTGCATGAGTGTGTTTTGTTGCAATTTTTTTCTTTTATACAAAAAACGTGTACTCATCTTTTCCCTGCAATTTTATACTTTTCTTGTGTTTTTTCTGTTATAGATAAATAGGGTATTTGTAAAATGCTCGAAAAGGATGAGCAGCGAACAAATTTTAAGTAAGATAATTACTATTCCCGAAATCCATCGGTTCTCTAATATCTCGAAAATCTTAAAATGTTTATCAAATGACTAAACAGAAAAGAAGCTAAAAATTTTAAATTCAAAATAATATTTATTACTCTCTTTTTGCAATAATTTTATACAACGAACGAAAGGTAGGTTTGCTTTTTTAGTTATTAACAGGTCATGGCAATTTTATGTAGCTTGACGCTTGTCGCATTTATTATAAATTACCATTTTTTTTGCCAACAGTTTAGCATTTCTTTTTGTTTAACTAATACTTAGTTAAAATACAAAACACACTACAGCAATACCAAATACCCAGCAAACACAAATTGAAACGTTTCAATAATTAAGGAATTTTCATCCTACAAAATTTTCAAGACTTAAAAAGAGTGTCAATAAGACTTATAATTTGATATCGAACGTAATAACCAAAGTATTCTTAAAATTTCAGGTTAAATTAGGATTTATTATAAACTACTAGTAACATCGATGTTTGCTGGGTTTAAGCGCAACATTTCTGCATGTATTGTTGAAGGGAGTCTTAAATGGGGCTGTATGTGTAAAAATGCATAA